AGGTCATGTTTAGAGAATAAATGTCTCAGTTTCTCTGAAACTCCAGCCACATATGGAATGATGACTGGTTTGGGTCTGGGTTTAGGGTCTTCATTTTCACCTGGTTGTTGGCTGGAGTCCTGTTTGGGTTTCTTGTCTGCTTTCTCCCTGGCTCCTGGGTTTGTGGGGACCCTGTCTGCTCTGCGGTACAGAGTCCTGATGACTCCTAACGTGTGTTCCAGTGGGTGATGGGAGTCAAAACACACTGGGCTGTGTGGGTGGGTTTGCAATACACGTCAGTTTTCAACCGTCCTCCATCCGAAACTGAGACATCACAGTCCAGGAACGCCAACCTGCCATTTTTTTACATCCTCTCATGTGAACTTTATATATTTATCCACAGAGTTGATGTGATCAGTGAAATGCTGGACTTTCTGGAATTTAATTTTAACCCAGGTGTCATCATCATACCCGAACCATGTCTGATGTCTCTGAAAAGGACATCAGAGCTGATGTAATTTTCAAAGCTGAGTCCAAAACTCGCTCAAATGACGCCACATTTTACTTAACATTCTTCCATTAACTCCAAACTCATATAAACTTCAGACTGTAAATCAAACACAAGCAAAAACAAATTCACAAATCTATTTGAACAGATAAAACACGGCTGACTCAGAATAAAACAGCGAGCTTCAGTTAAACAAACTAAGCTGCTCCTGTAGTTCAGGATGTTTCACTTCACATCACATCGGAAGTTTCAGGATTTCTGTCCAACTTTGTACAAGAAAAGAACCATAAATGCATACATTTAATAGCGAGCGTTAATCTAAATGAAATCTGACTCACCTTGAAGTCATTTTAAGTACCGGTATATTGAGTAGATAACGTAACCTTGGGGGGAAAGTGGGGCTCAAATAAGTTTTCATATCAGATAATGTAATAATTCTGTCACAGCGAAAGGATGCAAGGGAAAAAAAACACGATTAAGAGTTGGCTGATTTATTTCACTGATTACTTTCAAGTTTCAGACTAAAGGTGAACTGTGTTTTTTTATGGAAAATGTGAATTTTTGTCACCCTGCGTGTTCTTTAGTGCTTCGTTCCTTGGCTCGCTGAACAACAACTCTGTTGAAAGATTTAACTCACAACTAGAGGCAAATGAAGAAATGTCAGCAGCTTTGCTCCTGTACCATCGTTTTTTTTTATTTTAAAAGCTGATTTAAGAATTTAAAAGAAAATTAAACATGTTATCTGTTTTGTTTCTTGTTGGAACAGACTTTTCCTATCAAATCTGCTCAACAGGATAATTACTTTCAGTGCAAATATTTTGTATTTGTCACACAGTGATGAGTTCACATCTTTCATTTTGTTTAAAGACACAAGTTTCCCTTATATTGAGACTTCAGCTGTTTTTTTCCTCCCGCTCTCTGTGGGTCAAAACGACCCTGGAGGACGGAGGTTTAAAAGTGAGACTTGGTGGGCAGCAGGGGCGTTAAAGATAACAAGTGGCTTTTGCAGCTTTTACCGGTTTCAACTCGGCCCCACAGCAGTCGACACAACGAGTGACCAATTGCGAGAAAACCGCTTCGAATCTAACTGTAAACCCTCTCTTCAAGTGTCAACTTCTGTAGTTCTGGTTTGTTCTGTTGGAAATTTTCCAGCACTCTCCAGGTTTATTTGTATCCCTCAAAATAAAAGGCCGCTCTGAGGGATCATTTAGATTTTCATGGGAGCGTTCTCCTCCATGTGTGAGACAAAAAGGCTCCTAATAGAATTTATTGGTGGGGATAAATCACATGATAACACCCTCACACATTTAAACTCAACCTAAGACCTGCGCTGTCATATAAGAGACAGCTTTCAACTGTCACGCTCATAAAACCACCAACAGAAGGAATTTTCTTTTGGTGGGCTCGGTGGATAGTCCATCATCAGAGATAAACAATAATAAATAAACCTGAAGCTCATATGTTGAATAGTTTTTGAGTTATAAGCATTTTTGTATGTCCAAACACACCCTTTTCAGATGGAGCCCCCTCCTCAATTATGGGGTCTATCTTAAAGATGTTGGCTGGTTCAGCATAGGTTGGACTCATCTACAGTGCTGCCAGATTTCATTTTGATCTGTTTCCGTGCTACGATTGACCAAAAATCAGTGAAAAAAATAACAGTATGAAAATAATTTGAGCTCCACTTCGTGTGCAGGGGTCATAAAAATAAGATCTAAAACCTCCAGTTGAGCACAAGAAATGTAAAAAAAGGTGAAGACGCTAACTTTCACCATTTTTCTCTAACAAATCATCATCCATACTTCAGTGTCTCCCAGCGAGCATTCAGAGCACGCCTGCGACAGGAAGTTGTATTCAGACCATCAATGCTCTTGATAAACCCATTAGAATCGGAAGACTCGGCTCGTCTGCTAATTTGTAAAAATCGCTGCAACCAATGGCAGCTAGCGCAGCTGCGGCGGCGTCTCACATGTAGCTTTTAATTAGCCTCCTTCTCCGAGCAGCCTCCACCTGCAGCGGCTGACTCCTGTTCTCTTCATTATCTCCAACAGTCGCTGCGTCGGCTTTATTGAGGCGTTGCTGTGTTTTTCTTTGGCATCCAGTTTCCGTTAAAGTCATTGGCAATTAAAAACAAAAAGAGTGAAGATGGTGCTTATATTACATTTATCTATTCACGTGCTAATAAAACCAAAAATCCATTCCTTGCTGCTGTGAGGTTAAACTAACAGAGACTCAAAAGAAAACATGTTTGTTTTAAAGTTTGACCTGTCCAGTGATTTTTAAAAGGGTTATTTAAGATTTGGTTAGATTCATGTGTTGAGAAAAAATAAAATTCTGAGATTTGTCAGCCCACTTTCACCACATCTTATCACATAAAAGTAAATAAAATGTCATTTCTAAGGGTCAGAATTTCTCATTGCCACTCCTAGTTTTTCCAGTATTGAGTTGTTTGTGTTCACAGGTTGCAAATATTAAAAACAGATAAAAAAATAATAACGGTTGTATGTAAGTTAGCCGTCTGACAAGTGTTTTCTCGTTTCTCTTTGTTTTATTTAGACACACACACACACACACACACACACACACACACACACACACACACACACAAACACACACACACACACACACACACACACACAAACAGGGGATGTCATTATTTTTCCTCGCGCGTGTCAAATAATCTTTTAAACGAACCGACTTGTGTATAGGTCTTCATTATTGATAGCGCACACACCGGTTCTTTGACTTCATCCAGGCTGTCACGTCGGATGAGCCAGACACAATACGGTAAAATAATTAGAGCTACTGTAACCGTCTCTTAGCAACCGCGCTGCTTCGTCCACAGAGACCTGAACTCTCCGGTTCATCTTTGCGTTCGCTTGTTTTGGGTTAAAGCATCACCGTGCTGCAGGTTGAGAGATGTGCTGGCAGCTAACAGGGCATCAGGTTAGATCAGTTCTGACTTCT